CTCATCCCCTCATTGACCCTTGGCCAAGAAGTAAAGGCTGATCAGCAAATTTCCTATAATTTTATTGACTTAATGTAGTACTTTAGAAACAGGTAGACCTTTATTTAGAAATACCTACACAAATTCTTTCAAATAATTTTTTTAGGTTCAGAAATTTCCCCACCAAAAGTAGGTTTAGCTTAGAAAAAGTTAGAAAATGCAAATAAAGGTAAAGGAAATAAATATGACTAGAACTGACATCATCTTAGGACAGTGATGGCAAACCTATGACACGCGTGTCAGAGGTGACACGCGAACTCATTTTTTTGGTTGATTTTTCTTTGTTAAATGGCATTTAAATATATAAAATAAATATCAAAAATATAAGTCTTTGTTTTACTATGGTTGCAAATATCAAAAAATTTCTATATGTGACATGGCATCAGCGTTAAGTTAGAGTTTTTCAAAGTGCTGACACGCCGAGCTCAAAAGGTTTGCCATCACTGTCTTAGGATAAACACTGCTAACGTTTTGATAGGTACGCTTCTAGACATTTTCAGAGTTTTCTCTGAACCACAGTTCTAGTCTTGTTCTTCTATTATTATAGCTGTGTGACCTTGGCCAAGTCACTCAACCTTCCTGAGCCTTCCTTATCTCCCCACCCCCCCTTTACAAAATATCAACTTCAGATTCTTGTGGCGATTGAATAGACAAGGGAAGTTTGGAATAGTTCCTGGCGTATACTAGGTGTTTGATTCAAATTTCTTCTGCCTACCCCATGCTTGCTTTTTCTACCCCTTATTTTATGGATGAGCAAGTCTTTTTCTTTTTTCTTTATTTTTTAAAGAAGAGGTAAGATTGAACACCACTCATGCGATGTGATGCCTTTCCTACTAATATATAATGTTAACACTCTTGAAACAAAATGAGCAACCCTCTGAGTGTCTGCACACTCTTTTAGTATATGTGCTGCTGGAGCAAGCCCTGCACACTTTCTTTAAAACAAGCTTCCAGCAGCTATGTATGTTTCTGGATGAAAATCAATGTCTTCCTCGGGTCTCAGGGGGTTGTCCCTACTGCTTTGCCTCCTGAGAACATGAAATCATGCCTTGAACAAGTTTGGGAATCACCTGTAAATGGTAGCAGGGAGTGACCGCCGTGCCCTGAGGCATGATGTGACGCTGGGGTGCACTGGGTGACATGTCATCAGCATGTTGCTCTGCAGTGTTTATTTCATGGTGGGCACCCAGACAGAGCAAGCAGAGGATGCTGGGAGTGTGACTTCTCTCCCCAGCACACACAAGTCCTGTTCACTGCACGTCCAGTCCATCCTGGGAGCAGAGCTCACGTTCTCAGGGTCCAGGCAGCTCAGGTCTTCTGAGGCCTCATCACTGACCACAGTGATGGGGAATTTCAGAGCCCCACATGAGACACCCCAGCAGTCACAGGCTACTTACTCACAAGCAAGTGAGCAAAAGGTGTAAGGTGTGTGTGTGTGTGTGTGTGTGTGTGTGTGTGTGTGTGTGTGTGTTTAAAGTCAGATATCGTTAGGGACCTATTTGTTGTTAATCCTCACCAGAGGATACTTTTCCATTTGATTTTTAAAGAGTGTGTAAGGGAGGGGAAAGACAGACAGAGGAACATTAATGTGACAGACATATGGATTGGTTACCTCCTGCAGGCAGGGCCTAGGGATCAGATTGAGCCTGCAACTGAGGTACATGCCCTTAACCAGAATTGACCCCATGACCCTTCAGTCGGTAGGCCGACGCTCTATCCACTGAGCCAAACCAGCTAGGGCTGA